TAAGAACAGTGTAAAGGGAGGGGGGAGGGCAAAAAGTCCCCCAAAAAGGTGTAAGATTATATTTGAACATCCCCAAACCACACTGGTCACACCTGCCCAAAGTCAGCGAGAGTTCAAGAACTTGACACGTGTCAGGGGACAAACTGTTTTGTACATCATGCAACCTCCATTCAGTTTTCTTTTTTTTCTGATAGACAATCACATTTAACTTTTGGTTTTGGTCTAACAAAACTGATGTTGGTTACTCTGATTGCAATGAGCATACCAACAAGGTATTCCAATTATTCCATGACATTTTATTAGCTATACACGTCTTGCAACTTTTCTTACACCTTTTGCTAATTTTTCTTGCAACTTTTTGCAACTTTTGCTATTTTCAAATGCAACTTTTGCTATTTTCAAATGCAGCTTTCTCTGAGGACAGCATAATACACTACTGATTTCAAATAAGGCTTGCACTTATTCTAATGGCAAAAACATCTAGCAACAGCATCTTTTCCAACTTACCATAGCTTTTGATGTAGAAGTGAAGCTGGGATGGGTCAACAAAAAGTCAATATCACCACTCGTTGAAGCCCCTGTGGGAAATAAAAGAAACTGCCAAGTCAAATCAGTCCCACTGAAAATGGCCATTCTACAATACACAGATTTATGTAAAAGGGTAAGAAGTGATAAGGCTTGTTCCCCCCCCCCCCCTTTTTTTCAGTTACTATTATATTATATTATAAAAAACATCAGAAAGCTATGATTGGTACTCGGTCAGGCACTTAAAAAGAAATATTGACCCAACACTAGGCAGAGAGACCTGAAGCTCCATGGGGTCCTGGAGGACCTGCAGTGAGCAGCAGAATTTGCTCTAGAGACTGGGATGACCATTTAACAGCTGAACGAGAAGAGGTACTTGGTAATTTCTTTTTGGAGCAGATTGAACAAAAAAGTTAATATAACATAACTAGGATAGCAGTGCTCACCTCTTCTGAAACTGCCGCACACTTCAGCTGTGTATTCCTCATCTGTCTTCTTCAGTTCTGCGAGAACAAGGTCCTGCAGAGACAAAGTGCAACGACAGCTTTTAGAGAAAAAAGTAAGTGTTTGTCCTCTGCAGATACAATTATTAGTCCACTCAGTTTAAAAGAACGATCAAATATGACTCCAATAATTGCACTGGGGTAGACCCTTTCCTGTGCCATTGCCACTGGTTGAAGTTGTTTAAGCCATTAAACTCAAACTTTTAAAAACTTCGTCTTTTTTTACCTCCTCTAAGAGACAGTTATATCCATAAAAGTAAGAAACCCAATTTACACAAAAATCTTTACACAAGCAGCATACAAGTGTCTTTTTAAAATAAGAATTACAAGAGAGCACTTACCTGTAGCTTTACCATTTCTTCTCTGGGTATTCTTTCCTCAAAATCTTCGAAGTGCCTGAAATAAAAAGACCATGTCTGTTTATAAGAGGAACATTGAAAAGAACAGAGTATTTTCCCAAGGCAATTTCCAAACTATGAAGTGATGTCATTCAGTATATATTCCCCAGATGATTGTCAGCTAATACACATTGCTAAGGAAGACCACTGGTCTACCGTTGGCTGAAACACCGTAAGGTAAAAATCTGAGCTGCCGGACCTTTGGTTTCAAGGTCTATATTTAAAAAGTGAGGGAGTGGAGAATTATGAAAAGATCTAAAAGAATCCAACCTTCCCTTTAAGATTTTGAATCAAGGTCATTCCCTCCATGTTTCGGTGTGATGCCAGTTGAGCTGAGAGAGAGGGAGGGAGAGGGGGAAGGGAATGTGGGACGAAAGAGAGAGAGAGAGAGAGAGAGAGAGAGAGAGAGAGAGAGAGAGAGAGAGAGAGAGAGAGAGAGAGAGAGAGAGGAGAGAGAGAGAGAGAGAGAGGAGAGAGAGGAGAGAGAGAGAGGAGAGAGAGAGAGGAGAGAGAGAGAGAGAGAGGAGAGAGAGAGAGAGAGAGAGAGAGAGAGAGAGAGAGAGAGAGAGAGAGAGAGAGAGAGAGAAATCCAAAAGCAACACAGCTTGAAACATATTTTAAAAATTTAAAAACTACTCACTTTAAACCAACCTTCTGGTGATGATTTAGCTTGTCTGTGTTCTTTCTCAAATCTGAAAAAAGAAGAATCTATTAGAGCTACTTCAGCACATAAAAAACCTTACAGAATATTCTTCATCAGTTACATACTACACAATGGAAAAACAAACTATCCCCTCAGAAAATACAAAGTCCATCAATATGTAACAGGAGCACACATTTCCTCACCCTATTACTGGCAAGTGCCAATGAGACCAGCACTTCTTTGCCGCCAGATGTGTTACTGCCGATAAAATCTGTTTCCTCAAGCTGTCTACACAAACTCCGAAAATACCGACGCTGAACAAAAGTGCTCTAATTTTAAAAAGAAGGACCTCCTGTAGTTATTAGAACTCTTTTTGAGCCAGAGGAGGCAAAAGATTGTCCGTTGTTTAACTTAGAACAGCTGGCGGCCGTGACTCTGCATGTCAATGAAAATGGCTTCGTCAGGTCCTCGGCAGTTTCTGAGATTTCCAGAAGATTTTAGGGGAGAAATGTCGAAATCATACATTTTTTCAGCATATATTACAGCTTTTTCAAAGAGCTTTCCAAATATATAGTTTTCTGGTCTTTGTATTTTTGTACTCATTTATTACATCAAAAGGTGCACCCTTGTTCCTAAGACTTTCCCCTGACAAATGCAAGTTTACCACTGACAGTAATATGGTCTCAAAACTTTCTTCGTACCTTCAACTGACATGATTCCTTCATCAACAAACTTTTTTGCAGCTGCAGGTCTGTGAAATATACAAAAATTCAATAAACACCAAATCTTACATTAAAAGTTATAAATTACAGGCACGTTCAGTTCCCAAACCAACATTTCTATGACCCTATATTTGAATCAAGACTTTATTCATGAAAAAGTAAATTATGACAGGCTAAACAGGTCAAATACCAACAAAATATTATGCAGAGAGCAATGGCTTATCAGACTTATAATACCATGGCAACAGGCAGGTAGAAAGCAAGTTCATATGAATGCCACCAAAAAAATTACGCTTTCATATTTACGTATCAGGTTTTCTTGATGTTTTACAGAAATTCCCAAATGCCTTCACCCACACACCTTTCCATCACCACCTCATTCCCTATGTTAACTTCTTCTGTCATTCATGAGTTCTTTCAGTAGAGACAACAATCCTTTGAAATGAGACCTGTAACCCTTTGATCCCTGACTTACTAAGTTTAACGTGCCACTCTGTCTGAGCTCCTGAGCTCATATGATCGTCAGAATCACATTCCGTATCCCATTCAAGGTAGTTCTCCTCATTACCAGCATCTACTTCAGAAAGATCTTCAGAATAATCAATAACGCCCTGTGTAGTAAACACTGTTTCCCTTGCGTATTTTTTCCAAGATGGGCCGGGTTGGGGATAGGGCCTCGCTCACAGGTGTACCATTGGCTAGGCTTACGGGCACTTTTACGTGACACTTGTGCACCGATGGCTTGGGCTCAAAGGGTTAAGGATAAAAGAAAGATGATGTAATAGCATAACTTTCCAGCACTCACCCAACACCCGTCACCTTCGTCAGCTCATTAATAGCCACATTCGTGTCATCTGCTCTGATCTGGAAAAGGAAAAAAGATTGATCCAACCTCTTTTTGATTACAGACAAAGTGAAATAACAGAAGGATCACTAAAGAAAAATATCTACACTATATATTATATATCTAACACATATCATAATATTATAGCCCTACAAGTCACTCTAGTGAAGTAACTGTATGGGTTTAATACCCCTATTAACATTATCAGGTTATTTAAGAGGCAGGACCTCCATATTCAACATCCGTCTCTGATAGGACCTAGCCAAATGAGTTGAGAGCCTTGAAAACTTAACAAAATGACCCAAGTTCAAGAATTGAGCCACTCTTAAAAGTTCAACTACAAACGTACTAAATTTTCAAATTGACTATCATTATAATGCTTCTTTTATTGTAATACATATATTGTAATACATACTCCTCTGAGTACTTTTTATTTTACATTATCATGTTGAGAAGATAATCAGACACAACACCTGCACAAGGAAGTATGTCAACTTACAATACCACTACACAGAGGAACATGTTTGTCCTAGCATGACATACAGTTAACATGGATGCGATTACCTGTTGTTGTTTTGTTTTTAAACAAAAATATATTGCAAAGAGATTTATCATTCATGCAATCAACAAGGGGAGGTTTTCAACACCCCGATAAAAAATAAATTATGCACCTTGACATACAAGGTGAAGTGCATGTTCACATAATAATATAGTCGTATTTTAATCCTCTCTACTTCATGAAAGCGAATCCACATTAAAGCTAAAACATTTTTTCTTGACGCTACAGGCATCTTTTTAAGCACTCTTTGAGTTCCTTATTAGTTTGACATTATTAATGAAGACAACCTGCAAATGACATCTCCCGCCCCCTTTATTGCAATCAATGATACATATTTTGTTAAGTCTGGAACTGGAACTCGGGTGAATTTTCTACGAGTTATTGTATATTTGCTAATTTCTTGACTGAAAAAGCCTGACTTTAGATGTACCAATTTTCCAATCATGTTTGTCATATTTATAGAGAGGCCCTCCATTCACGTTTACCTTTGACGATGGCTCATATAACAGATATATTTTAACCTCCAATTGTCCTTAAAAAAAAGCCCACGTTGGACAATCAGACTTGCTGTATTGATCTTCACTATAAATTATTCCAAATCAGTATTCCTGCATCAAATGCAAGCGATAACAGGGATCTCTGCTTCATTTAAATGTTTCAGTTGTCCTTATCCATTCCTGGAGAAATCTGGCTGCTATCAAGCTCACTCATTTAAAGTTACAATTCAACAAAAACAACAACAGCAACAACTACAACAATAACAACATCTCATATTTGTTTACAACAGATTCCATGGCAACAAGATAAATGATACTGCACCATTCATTTGACTTACTTTTACAAGTTTCTCCAGCTTTCCTGTCTTAAGGAACTCATCAATCTTCTTGGCTATCTTCTCCCCGACCCCTTCCTGGGAAGAGAAAAGAATGCCATGTTTGTAGAAGACAATTTTTGGTCAAAGTCTTCTTTAGAAGGATGCAATGCAACACTCTTAACAGAATGACAAACTACAAATTAATTAATATAAAGTTTAGAAACCATTCCAAATTAAGAGCAACAAAAAAAATGAACAAATAAAAAAAATATAATATTTCTCAACACAGGACCACTGCAGAAAATCTTTGCATTTCAAATCTGGACAATATGAACTGCAGTTTCCTGGTGTTTAAGAAAAACAGAACAGTACAATGATAATGCAACAATAATATAAGATACCAAGGAACAATACACGCACAATAATCATCATAAACCAGTTCAAATAACTGAGGTGCATTCAAATGAATTCTCTAGCTGTTTGATTTCATACGATTTGAAAGCACGCAGGACAGCAGCAGACTAGCAAAATAGTATCATGCTATTTGAATATATAGAAAACTTTTAAGAGCATGAACTGTTACTGTAATTAATACATGGCCTACGTGCTACATAATGAAAAGCAAAAGCCAAACAAAATAATGTAACAGTAAAAACATATGAAGTTGAAACTGTCCAAGACGCCCACCCATATAGTTTTTAGAAAGGTTGTTGCCTTGGATTTCATTATTGAAATAACCCCCCCCCAAAAAAAACAACCAAGGGGACAAATAGGAAGAGGTCATTTGTGCAGGTGACTGTCTTAGACAGGTGGCTGTTAAAGCAAGCTTGATGTAATGTCCACGAACACTTACTTTTAAGAATACTTTCAGTGAAAAATATTTAAATTCTTTGTTCTGTCCAGTAAGTGTATTCAGAATTAATGTCTTAACATCACGATCAATACAATCATATAACCTCCTTGACTTATTTGACTTGGAAAAGAGAACTGTTTTGGTAAGGCTATCTGACGTTCATAACTATGATGACATATTACATCAAATATCACAAAATCGAAAGGAAATTTCTTTTTCTCCTTTAAAGACTTGATACTGGTGTAAAAAGTAGTAGAGATACCAACTCTAAACAGATGGTGTTGTTAAAATTTTATCACTTGTAGAGATTTCCTGTCAGTATAGTTTATGCACGTCAGAATCCCAAAGTGACCATCAAACATCTAAAATTCTTACAAAATATTTATTTTGCTGCTGTATTTGCACATGATTATGAAAACAACACTGCCCAATTACCTACATATTCATGGCTTTGAAACTAAAATTAAGTAACAATTTTTAATATTTGACCTCTGTGACATGTTTAGGAAGTGCCTGGTTCTGGCAAAGTCTGACTTTGATTTTCCAGCATACAATAATTAAAACTATGAAAAAAATTAATGAAACATCAATTCAGTAAAACAAGAATGTTTTGTTGATTTTAACAAAAACTAAAACAAGAATTAATATATAGTAATAGTACAGATAGAATGAATTGTTCTCAGAGCACACACAAGTAATTAATAAAAATTCTCTGTTCCCCCTTTCTCACCAGCTTCTTTGCTTCAGCTCCACTAGAAATCCTCACAGGATGCTTGGCCAACACTCCTGCAGCTTTCCGATACGCATTGTACTTGTGCATAGCCCTGCTCACATTCTTCTCATAGTTGGCCAATTCTAAAAATGAAGATTACACAAGCAAAACAACTGTAAACTTTTAGAAAAAAGAGAACACAATGGCAATGAACTAATAAAACATTCCCAAAAACTGTTGATGTTTTCTTTCAAGTATTATTTGTTCTTCTTTAACAAAAATCTACATGATGAATTATCTCTGTATTCAACCACTGCACACAGCAATTTTCATTTTGACAGCCACACATGTGCAGATACTAAGGCTTATAAATGCATTACAGCTGGTTGTAATATTCCAAAAAGCACTGAGTACCCTCCCTGCTATTACTTTTGAATTTAAAGCTTTAAAAAATGTGAATTCCTGTAGGCCCTAGAATGATGTTGTTCCTTACCCAGAGTTATTCCCATCATCGACAGTTTTTAAAAAATAGTTTTGTCTGACCACTTTTCTTTAACACATGTTCTATTATTTTTTCCCCTGAAACTGGGCTTTACATATTTTCATAAGATTGACATGACCAACTTACCCATCAGGAAGTCACAGAACTCTGCATTTGGGTTTTCAGTTTCAGCTTTCCGCTTGCTCATGTTTCTTGCTTAATAAGAGGGTTTTCGTGATAAAATCAAGGTCTGCAGGTGCATAGAGAGCTTCCAGTTTGCCTGTAATAGAGTACACAAAAAACTTTGTGCAGAATTTTAAACAATGTCACAGCATCGTTCACAACTGTAAGGTCATGGGTTCAAATCTCATCAGGGGCCTGACACTGTTGTGTACTTGGGAAAAGTACTTTACACCAATTTTTCTCCCTTAGTGTTTGAGTACATGATGCAATCTGTAGGCCTATAGCTTCCCATGAATCCTAGAATGTTTCTGTTATGTTCCAGGGTCTCCTCCTTGGGTAATAATAGTTGTAAAGCATAAATGTTCTAAGAGTGTGGATATGTGCAATTTTTAAATTCAATTATTGTTAGGTGAATTGCCATGCAGCAAACATTAACTTGTGGTTCTCTGTATTGGTTTATTTTTTTATTTTTAAAAAGTTACAACAGAGAAGCGGAATATCTGCCCTGCAAGTTCTGCACTTTGTTTGCAAATTAAAACAGGGAAGGAGGGAAGGACTTCTGTAATGAGCTAACCACCCCAACAAACACAATGAAGAAGAGACCCAACCCTAACCCAAACCCTAACCTTCTATCTCTGTACACCACCTATTTCGCAGTATCGGCCTAATACTAGCGGTCGCTCATTACAGAATTCCTCCCCAAAACTGAGCATGATTATGAAAAGGGCCACCTATATCTCACCCCTGGTGAGAATAGCTCATGACCTGTTATTCTATTCTCACCCCCAACCCTGGTGTGGGCATGAGGCGAGGACTCACCCCTGACCTCTTCCAAGCCGATAAAATCACCAAGCCCTACTAGGTGACTTACCGCATGTGGTTGGAAAATGACTCATGAGTGCTTGGCACTTTTTCCTCATGTAGGCCAACTACTGATTATCGTTGCTGTTGCCATAGATCTTGTAATTCGTTTTTTGCTTTTTAGACATCTAGCCTTCTTAAAATTAGGCTATAATTAAGAGTACGGCTAGATGTAAATATCAGAAAAAAAAAACGTTCTGCCCATGACATTTTGTTCTTGCACTGTAACTTATCAGCGGCATAGCCAGAATGTAACTCGTTTTTTAATCATTTTTTTTTCCACTGTTGTAACTGTTTATGGTGCCATCTATTTTTGTTGCCTTCCGGGGCTTCCCTCGCCAGTTGACTAGATCTCACCACCGTGGCGGGCTCACTTTGCCACAAAGTGAGCGATCGGTAGCATCACTAGATCTAGATTTCATCGCCGACTGCTTGGGCTGAGTGTGCATACGCTTTATGTGTGTGTGTTAGTGCGCGTGTGTGTGCGCACGCACTTGTGTGTGTGTGTGTGTGTGTGTGTGTGTGTGTGTGTGAGTATGTGTGTGTGTGTGTACAACTTTAAGGGGGGAGGGGGGGGCTACACCCTTAAAGTCCCGATTCGGCTCAAAATTATAGAATTTGAGTTGTAGGCATTTTTAGCTTCCTCAGCCTCTCCAACAACTATTTCATCACATAAGAACCCCCAAAATTCTCATTTCTTCCCGTTCCGGGCATGTTTGTCACCACCATTTCCTCATAAATTCAATATTTTATTTTTCTTTATTGGACATTTTCTCAAAATACGACTTTTTTCTATACTTTTTTTAATAACTCAACCATTTTCCATCCAATCTTCATGAAATTTTAACAGAATGAGCAGAAGATGTAATACTAAAATTTTGTCTGTTGAATTTTTGTTTTTAGTAGGTGGAGTCTTGAGTGTGGATTTTCACGGATTTTTTTCAAACATGAGTACTTTTACCTCAGGAAAAAATTCATTAAAAATCTTCTAATTCGTCTAGGAAAAAAACAACAGACAAATTTTGGTGCTTTTTCTGTAGCTCCCACCCCCCTTATTTGAGCCTAGATCTACATCGAGATCTATACGTTTGATGCTGCAAAACATCAAATTATTGTAAAAAACGGGGGCATGCCCCCCTGAAACCCCCCATCATATATATATTGGGTCAGGGGGGCAAGCCCCCCGAAACCCCCGAACTCTTGGGGCCAAAACCGGCGAATAACGGGGTGGGAACTACCGAAAAAGCACCCAAATTTTTAGATCTAATGTTTGTGAACACACACGCAAAAAAAAAAAAAAAAATTTCCATGAGCAGTAAGTGCGGTATTCATTACGTAACACATGTCAACAAAATCCAATATGGCCGCCATATCCATGGAAACGAAACCTTGTTCTCAAATTTGATTGCGGATTTTAACTTTAAGACTCCTTACTATGCTTGTTATATGTCTGAAAATTGGTCAAATTCGGTTGGTGATCTTATACTTTAGCACGTTAAATTCCAAAAGTCTACTAATCCCTGACTCAGACCTTCAAAACTTTGTACTGGGCCTAAAAATGTGCAAACTACCATAATTTTGTCATGAACAGATCGTATAACAGTGGTTTTCAGTCTTCCATCATGATTTTGGAAGCCATTGAGTATTATAATCTTGATGACATAGAATATTGATCCAGATCTGATAGTGGTGGCTCGTTTCAGAAGTCCTAAATTGAAGAATTTAACGTGCTAAAGTATAAGATCACCATTCGGTCAACTACTAAGCGAAGCCTTCAGGTGTAACCCCCTCTCCTTAAGTAAGGAGAAAAGGTAAATTTATGGTACAAAGAAGCATCCGTTATTTATTTTATTCTCACCCCGCCGGCCCGGGGGAGGATTACCAGTTCCCATTCCATCTTTTGTGATTTTGTGGGTGCACTTTGTGTTTAAACAACTTTTCGCAGGCAACATATTAGCTTTCACTAGTAGAATGCAAGCTCAATTTGGGTAATTAGACTGGAAAAAAAGCAATTGATAGCTGATATATTATAATAGCAGTCGATTTGGATTTAAATTGCCGGTGCAGTTTATAGCAATTATACCATTGACACTTCGTGCTAACTGGGGCCATGCTTGTCTGCGATCAACGAAAATGCTTTGAACAAGGGACGCAGTTTGTTTTGTATTAATTTATAATTAATCCAAGTTGGCGGTGTGGTTACTGGAATTGCGCTCCTCTCTCTCTCTCTCTCTCACACACACACACACAAACCCACATTACCGGGTCTGAGCGCTGAAACTTTCTGAAATCACAAAAGAGTTCCCCAACCGGGTCAGTAGATCTAGATATTATACTTAGTGACTTAGTTCCCGGTTACCGGGTCTGTATACACTTCGTACTCTAATCCCAGCCAGGAGACAAATTAGCCTAGATTCTAGATCTAATGAATGCCAATGACTCCCAACCAGGAGACAATTAAATTTACGAAGTGACTATTTCTCCGAACGTTCGGAGAAATAGTGCCGATCTTTATTTCTCCGAACGGTTTCCGGCTTCCGCTCTGGTCGTGATTGTTTGCCTATTTGCGAGAGTTCGGCGCCAACTTTCATTCCGTCATTCTGCGAGGTCTGGGAAGGAGCAAATCAAAGGTGGTATCTGTTCTCAGCTTCTCCTCCGGCCGTGTGCCCACTGGTTTAGCGAGGCGGGTACTGCCTGAGGCACCCGAGAGACGGAGAAATCTGACCGTCTTTTCTATTGAGTGGACGGTTATCGTCCATTAAAAAAAAAAACGGAGCAAATTTTTGGGTTTAGATCTATTTCAATTTTCAAGAGTTAGATCTAGTCTAGAGATTTTTAGATGAGTGTAAAAACGTGAAAAAGAAAGGTTTCACAACAGAATGAAATCAAAACTAGAACAGCCCAGAAACAACCACAACAATTAACAAATAAGGGCATGTGTCCACCTGTCCGAAGAAGATTGGCCGTTTTAACCCTAAATGTGCGTAATTTGTTAAAAAAAAGTACAGGATATTGCACGGAAATTATGGAACCACACACAGGGGGCCTGCCAGTGTCAGTACATGTACTTGGTTTTGGTGGAACGCTCTAACATAGCACATTTAAATCTATACAGGTATATGTATTTAGAATCTAATGAAGGTAGGAACATCAAATTAAATGACGTTACACAATACCTTTTGTAGGAACATCAAATTAAATGACGTTACACTATACAACCCCCCCCCCCCCCCCTTTTCCCCAACAAAAAAAAATTAATAGAAAAACAACACATCAGAACAATAACAAGAAAAAAAAATACACACCAACAAAATATAACACCACAAAGAGGGAAAAATGAACGAAAAATAAAAGAGGAACAGCAATACAAATCGTATGTAACTGTAACGTATTCAACAAATCAACGTGGTGACAACAAGTGAGAAAGAGACGAAGTGAAGCTAAGTGAACTTTCTTTCAAAAGTAAAGAGTTTCATTTTCTTTTCTTTTTTTTTGACTTTTTCAGGGACCAAAAAATCGAGCCACGATTGATTGGTCGCGGCCTCGACAAACGCAGATGCTAGCTCTATGTGTCGTTATCAATAACCCTCCATAGATCTAGATCTAGACAGCTCACGAGTGAACGCAACACATTAAGTTTAAGAGCAGCACCCTTCATAGGCCACACGTCATATCTGTAGCGAAAAACTGTTTGGAACTGTAGCATTTCTTTATACTTTATATATAAATACGGACATTTTTTGGACCGATTGAACCATATTGTATACGAACAATCTTTGGTAGGCCTATAATATAATTATAGATCTATATTTTATTTTTATTATCCGAAATATGCGGGAAAGGGTGTGATTTCAGAGTGTTCGGAGAAATAGTGCCCAGCTTTATTTTCCCGAACGTTCGGAGAAATAGTGCCGGCCTTAAATTTAATTCCAATGATTTACTAGATCTAGATCTAGAATCTAGATCTACCTCTTACTTTGGGCATCAATAGGCCTATACTTGAGTCCAGCTTAACTCAAAACAGCTGTCAAAGTAAAATAAAAATCGGTCTGTTTCTGAAATAGAGGCAATGAGCTAAGAACAACTGTAAACACTTTGAGAATAGAGTTTCCTCAGGTCTTGCTCTAGCAGTCAGCCAAGCAAAGCAATATATATATATAGCCTAGCAAAGCAATATTCCTGGCTTGAGTGAGTGGCTTCCGGCTTCCGGGATAGAGCAGAGAGGGTTTACAGTAACAGAGAGATGACACTCGTGGCGGCACTCCATGACGACAGTGCATTGTTTCGCCTATCGCCCGGCGCGGGGCGCAAAAACACTTACGCGCGGTAGTTGCTGCCACGGCGATGCCCAGGGATGCTGTCATGTCATGAGAAAATGTAGTCCCGTCTGTATTAGTTCACTGGGTTACTAGACCTTTTACAAAGTAGGAAGCCTGTGATTTCTATCAAATATTATAGGCAACCATAAACTGTTAGATGACTTAAGTAAACTTACATTCTAATAAACAAATAGACGCAAATACATTATATATAGCCTACTTCGTCACTATAGATCTGAAAACCGTTTAAAGCATAATCGGTTTAATTTTCACCAAAACTACTCGTTCTCCAGTGTCCCTCTGTCCTCTCTCTCCCTCTCCCTCTCTGTCTGTCTGTCTGTCTGTCTGTCTGTCTGTCTGTCTGTCTGTCTGTCTGTCTGTCTGTCTGTTTGTCTGTATGTATGTATGTATGTCTGTCTGTCTCTCTCTTTCTCTCTCTCTCTCTCTCTCTCTCTCTCTCTCTCTCTCTCTCTCTCTCTCTCTCTCTCTCTCTCTCTCTCTCTCTCTCTTTCTTTCTCTCTCGTCCCATCTCTTTTTTATGAACCAAATTATTTTGTGATTTGTTTTTGTTTAAGTAGATTCTTTTGGTTTCATAAAAAAATATTAGATGTCTTGTCTTCACAGAATTCTACACTTAATGTAGAATTCTGTGCTTGTCTTACACTAAAGTTCTCAGTATTATGAACTTCGTTGCAAGTCGAGTTTCAGAAGACGTATACGTTCAGTGAATTGGTATGTTTTTGTATGCATCTGTGTCTTTTACTTTATAATTTGTATAATGTCTATCTTATGCATACCTCTGTGTCTGGGATGCTGGAAAGAGAACTTATACAATAAATGTTCATTTGTGGTACAATCATACAGCCAACATGTTTTTGTTTGATTGAGCACTGTGGGGAGAATCATGATAAAACAATTCAATGAATCATTCGTTCGAAATGGCATTACGTAACTCACACAGGTTGCTATGGGAGCAGTTTGGTCGAAGAACTCAGGTGTAGACTTTGCTTTACTCAACAAGACCTATAGATCCAAATGACCCATAGAGTTATCGCCTTGTCGTGTAAATCTATGAAACAAGCCAGGCGCTAGCTGACAAATTTTGCATTGTCGAAGCAAATCTGGGAATCCGAAAAACGTAAACAAAGTGCAAACTACCAGAATACTACTCATTACTCAGCCAGCAGTCAGCTCACACTCACACAATTTCGTTCGTCATTCTTGCCACCAACTCCTCAGATTGGAGCCATAAATTCCCCGAAGGACCTTTGTTGAAGTCTTCAGAATTCCACAGAAAATAGTAAGTAATTGAATACATCATGTACTGACTTTATGATGAAGTGTTCAGTGTGTCTGTGTTGTGTTCACCTCGGTCGAAGCTGTGCGCTTGTGGTTGTGTGTGTGTGTGTGTGTGTGTGTGTGTGTGTGTGTGTGTGTGTGTGTGTGTGTGTGTGTGTGTATGCAGAGCTGTTTAAATTAAAGTACAAAATGAAGTACAATCTGAAAATAAGTACATTTTAAGTACTTTCCAGTAAAGTGTACTGGAATAAAAGTAATTTTAAAAAAAAGTACTATGAGTACATTTTGAGTAGATCTACTTTCTGCTAATATAATATCGTTGGCCTGGTGATAAAACCGTCTAACCCACAAAATATCAAAAAACTTTTTATTGGCCCTATCGATAGTAAATTGTCCATTTCATATGCTCACTCAAAGACTGATCTGAATTTTGTTTAGAAATGTTTTTAAAACATTAGAAATAAAACCGTATAACCCGGCACCCATCTGATTTTAGCCCGATAATTCCAACTATCCCACCTTCGAGGGACGGAATGAGGGTTGGCTGTTTTTATCGCGCTAACAATGAGGGGCCACTTGCTACGTTACCGACTAACCCCGGCTTTGACTCCTCTCCGGACTTCGTTTGAAATCAGATTCAGACCTGTAAAAGTCCAGAATTTGCTCTCATAACCGTGGGAGCTATCCAAAAAGGAATATTTGTGTAATATTTCTTGTTGGTTTCATTGGGGAGTTATATAGATCTGGTTGTTTCCTCTTTTTTCTTCGTTTTAATGCTGCTGATAATGTTATTACTGACTAAAACTCCCCACCGTACCCTCAGAACTGTTCATCTCGTGACAATTCCGGTATTTGAAATGTATCTTCATGGATTTTGTTTTATATGAAACTATGTTTTCTGTCCGCGTGTTTTTCTTTGTCTTTGTACTCGAAATTCACCGATTGTGAAGGCATTTTCCCCTATTCGGACTACTTATAACTGTCTCTTCTCCTAATCATTTTTCCTTCACAATTGAATGGACGAGGCAGATAGCATTTCCTCCTTTACTAACTCACTCAAAAAAATAATAATTGTGGGACCTGTCCAGCACACCGTCTGCCCCCAACGATCTGATCGTTGTTTTTTAAAGCGCTTTTTCTTTTCTTTTTTTTTCATTTGCTGTGTTTATTGCAGTCCTTACCTTCTGAAACATCTTTCGACTTTCTTTGAAAGTTCATTTCGTTTGTGTTTTGAGTAGATTGTTTTCTCAGTGTCATAACCTAATGCTTTATCTTTATATCAAACCTTAGCTTACATAACGCTATAACATTTAATAAGATGATGCCACTCTTGCTGCGACACCTCTGACCCTCAGCGCAGTGGAAAGTGATCAACGTGACCAGGCTAATGTCACATCAGCTGATACTACAACAGTTATGTCACCTTTGATCTCTGCGAAAAGGACACGGCATGAAAACGATTGGAAGAGTAACAAAAGGAAGAGGTTGAAAGAACTGGGGATGCCTCTACACATGTCAAGGCACGAAGCGAGCAGGATGTGAACTTGACGTCCTTTGCAGTTGTAAACTGGTTTGTACAAAATGCAATGACATCACTGGTCACTCTCTTGGAAAGAAAAGAGAGCCTGCGTATATGCCACGATAAACATGATAGACAAAAAGAGATCTTAAAAAAGCAAGGGAAAACCCAAAGAGAAATTACAGCCTTCAATACCACTTACAAGAGTCAAAGGTCAAAGAACACCTGTTTGTAAAACAATCTTCAAGAACACCACAGGCCTGACTCCCTGGTTTATTTAAAGTGTCTTCTCCGAAAAAACAAACAAACAAGAGCCCCCCCTAGAACACATCACGCCCACCATGAGAGAGCCAAGGATGACAAGTTGTTCCATAAAGAGAAATTTTTTGACAAACTTTCGAAGATATCCTCCTGTCTACAGATGACAATCTAGAAAACGTCAGATCTGCATCAAGTATACATGGAGAACTTTGCAGAGAGGTTGAAAGCCACATTGAGCTATCAAGTGTTCTGCCAAATGTTCAAGAAAAATAATTTGGGTTTACTTTCAACCAAGAAAGACCAGTGCGACATTTGTACAAAGTTCAAATCTGGAAACCTCACAGAAACAGAACACACAGCTCAAATATGAATATGAGGAACGCTGCAGCTAGACCAGAGAAGAAGGAAAGGGAGGCTGTGTGTGTCCTTTGTATGGAGATCCAGTGCGTCCTTCTGGCCCCATCCCTAAAGACTTCCACTTTATATTATAAAATAAAACTGGCTGTACACAATCTTACGATTTAGGATCTTGCCACCAGAGACGCCAGATGATATGTCTGGTATGAAAGTGAAGTTGGTCTGGGCTTCAACAGTTTTCATCATGTCTGACTCAGTAACTGATATTGCAAGTGACTGACTTCAACCACCTCATCATCTGCAGTGATTGGCGCAACTACTAAAACACAGAAAGCCACCCGGGTGAGTGCAGCAATGGCCTCGCTGGCCAAAGAGCTTTACATCACAGTTAAGCAGAAATTCTCCCCAAGGGCCATACCCATGGAAGTGGATTCAGTCCATGGCACTATTGAGTGATCGCTAAAAAACGCACTGATGTACATCCCAATGGACTACGTGAACATCATGCTCAAAGCCAGACGCATCCCCAGGCCCTATGAAGTTATGTACCTGGACCACAGCTTTTTCAAAGATTTCGCAAAGGTCGGAGAGCACTAAACAATCCGTCCTGGGAGAAAAGCAGGCGATCCTACTGTCACCGACTTGCAGGCAGCAAAGTACACTCCAGTCTTTAAAATTCAGTACAAGCAAGCTGAACTTTGATGATGGATAGAAGGCGCTGCAAGGACCAAGAAAGCTGAACACCATGTGTACGACGGTTACTGCTGGACCTCTCTGCAAAGACAGATTGAAGATAACTGCCAACCAGTATAAACATCTACTTGAGTTGAAGGCCGTCGCACCACGATGCTACCACAATTACCATGAAACTTTGCCTCAGTAAGAAGTTTTGAAAGCGATCAAGCCAAATTCGATTATTGTAGAGTCTTTCAAAACAATGGTAACTTTTGTCGTATTGCCTTGTTGTAGCCATAGGACACAGAGTGAGACAGACATGCTTTTCTATTGTCGAGAAAACTCAATAAAGTAGTAGTTGTCAAGCCACGCACCTTGGAGAACGTTTGCGCATTCTTTGGTACTCACAAAGTCTTTTTGTATAATAATTATATATCATTATGTAACCAACTTCTCCCAAACCATTGCTGAGGTAGCAGAGCTTTTGTGTGGCTGTCTGATTTCATTTCTTTCTTAGTATTACTTTTTTCCCGGCATTTGAATGGCCACCCAGTGCCAATAGTACCGTGTCAGACACGGTCATAAATTCTAAAGGCCTACTGCTGCTGCTGCTACTACTGTTGTTTTTGTTGTTGTTGTAGTTGTTGTTTTTTGTAGTTGTTGCTGTAGCTGCTCTCCCTTACCCTTCCAACCTCCTGTTCTTCTACTTCAAATGTAATTAATAGACTCTTTGCTGTGTTCTGCTTCTTCTACTTCTATTAAAGGTTCAACTTTGTGACTGCTGTTTTTGCCCGAATTTGCTCCGTAGCACTGAAATGGCAGCAGCTGATAGTATGTTGGTAGCAATAATATAGTCCTCCTCCTCTTCCTTCTTCTTCTTTTTACTCCTCCTCCTCCTCCATCTTTTTTCTCCTTATCCTCCTCCTTCTCACCCGCTTCCTCCTCCTCCTCCTCCTCCTCCTCCTCCTCCTCCTCCTCCTCCTCCTCCTCCTCCTCCTCCTCCTCCTCCTTCTTCTTCTTCTTCTTCTTCTTCTTCTTCTTCTTCTTCTTCTTCTTCTTCTTCTTCTTCTTCTTCTACAAATGATCTTGACGATTGAAGCAAGTGATCAATTACGTTACCGTCAAGTGTTGCTTGGCTGCACTCAACCAAACCCAAGGCCAGCAGTGGCTTCCTGATAAAACCGGCCAACCCACAAAATTGAGGGTTGGTCGGTTTTATCCTGGAAAATTTGAGCGACATAACCGTCTAACCCACACAGTTTCATTAAAAGCAATTTTTAAAGGAAAAAAAGTCTACAGATTTTCGGTAAAGTGTTTTTATAGGTGTTTAAAGCATTGATTTATTGTTAAACGCCTTTGTATTGAAATAAAACAGTTTTTTCCTTCTCCTGTAAAATTTACCTCGCTGGGGTTAGCCGGTTTTATCACAAGGCCGACGATATGCTAAAAAATAATTCAGTGCTATGCAAAACAGGAGGACTTCCGTAACGAGCGACCACTATGAGTATGAGACAGAGCAGAATTGAGGCCTTAGGTAGGGGTAGGGTTAGGGGTAGGGTTAGGTTAGGTCTAGACCTCTTCTTTATTGTGTTTGTTGATGGGGTGGTCGCTCGTTACGGAAGTCCTTCCTGCAAAACATCATTGAAACAGATCCAGTCCACTATATTTTGACAAATTAAGCCATTTATTACTCTAAAAATGTAAACCGTATACAAAGCACTTTCCTACTTGTCCACCGACCATCAAAACGCAAGCAGTCTTGTTCATGAACCGTTGTGGATGTGTATATTGAACAGTCGTGGATATCCTTCTCGTTATTATTCTCTTTTATTCGCAACTTTTCGTTTTGTATGATTGTGTTAAGTTCACATTATTCTTGCTGGGGATTATGCTGCCACCGTTGCCTTGCTTGCAAGAGGATGCTAGAATCTACTTTACTATAAAAATTGTATATTATTACAGTTGAACCTGTGTAAAACAGAGTCGCAAGGGAGCGAGAAAAAAACGGAGTCTTAAATCTAAACTAGACAGTTTAGTAGAGCTGGTCGATCTAGACTTGACTTCACTGTCACCTGGTCTCAAGTTAGTAGTTAGTTGAGACAAAAAATCCCAATAGGACTTAATTGTAATAAACAGTAGTGATTGTGCCCCGGGTGAATCCAGCTGTGGCTTAGACTATACACCAAGTT